GCAAGCGACAAAATGGTTGATTGATTGACCTGCCCAACAAATTTGATCGATTGATTGATTGATTGAGCGCCCGACAGAGTGGTTGATGGATTGAGCGGCCAATAGTTGAACAGTTCTGAAGTTTCGACAACACAACAGCACCCCCATTGGGGTCAAATGGTTGCCAAAAAGGAGAGTGCCTATCTGGCAATCAACCAAAGAATCAACCAATCAATCACAAACGTAAAAAAATGCTATCAAAAAATGAACAAAGCTAAGATAAACTCTACGTAAAAAATATGGAGGGAAAAAAAAAAAGGAACAAGGATAAAGTTTCGTTCAACCATTCAAAAAAAAAGAAAGAAAGAAGAGAGAGAGAGAGAGAGAGAGAGAGAGAGACCATAACCCCGAGATCGAACGGCAGCAAGACCGAACCATGAGAGAGAGAGAGAGAGAGAGAGAGAGAGAGAGAGAGAGAGAGAGAGAGAGAGAGAGAGAGAGAGAGAGAGAGAGAGAGAGCGTATCCCCTGTCTCTTATACACATCTAGATGTGTATAAGAGACAGGTCCACCATAGCCTCGGCCTATGAGAGTGAAGAGTGATAGAGGCGGCCATGGCTATGGTGGACCTCAAGTGATACCTGCAGTAGAAGAGGGATTCGGACTTGATTCTGGTTCAGCTATTCAACATTGTATTATTATTTCTTGTGTGAATAAGAGAGGACGAGATAAGGAGGAAGAGAGGGTTGAGCGAAGAAGAAGAGCTTTATCGTTTGTCTGTGCTGGTGTACATCATCTTCTTCTTCTTTCTTACTTCTTCTTCTTCTTCTGACCTTCTCTCTCCTCTCAAGTTCGTTCATTTCTTTCTACAATTGAACAGCATTGTACTATCTGATGAATGTGTATCTCAAAATTGGCCAGGATCATAACAATAGTGAATTTTCTGCTAGAATATGGAACCATACACTGCCATCTGTTTTGTCTTGTGACCAAGCGGTGAGGAGTGGAGGCAGGCCCTTAGGGCCACTGCTCGTAGGAACGGAAAACGAAATAAAGAGAGAGCTGCGGTAGTAAGTAGCTGTAACCCATGACTCCTGGAACACAGACCTGAATTCGGATCCAGAGGATATATTGGTGGCCTGCTCCTCTCGCATCCGAAATTCGATGAGGGCCCTGCAGTTTCTCTGCTGGGGCCCCTTCGGAAAAGAAACTATATGCAATGAGGAATACGTGGCCCCAAATTTTTTTCTTCTGTGCCCTTTTAGGATTTTCAGAAGGGAGGGGCACGTTTAGCTACCTCAGCCAGCCCTCTCCAATTTTCTTTTATTGACGCTATTTATTTGGGTGCGCCGAATCACGTGCGCGCGCATGCTTGCACGTGCGCTTTGGCCCGCATGTGCGGAACTCATGTGCACGCGATGCGCCGCAGGTATGGAAAAACATAAAAATGAAAAAAGCAAAACGAAAGAAACAGAAAATCGAAAAAAAAGCAAAGGAGGAGGATAGGGGTAAATCTGGAAAATTGGAGGATTCTACTCCAGTTCACGTAATTGATTTTTGTGTAAGAGTGTGTGTGTATGTATGTTGTCATATTCGCTATACACAGCTCCATACTGTTTCGTCGGACTTTCACTGACTCATCACGAGTGTGTGTGTGTGTGTGTGTGTGTGTGTGTGTGTGTGTGTGTGTGTGTGTGGGCTTGTGTCTGTGCGGATGCTTGCCTTTGTGTGACTGGGCTACTCTTTGTTCAGGGTCTCTTGGGAGGAGTAGCGATAAACAAGACTCTCATTGATGACTGGACTATATATAGACTTCCTCTGGAGAATGTCACAAGTGCATCCTTGGATGAAGCCAGATGCTCAGCAGGGCACCTGGATGGTAAAGTTGGTGATAGAATGTGTGAGCAGGAGCGCAAGTCTCATTTCAATTTGGAGCAATGCATAACTGGTAGGCTATAGCTGCTGTGGCTGAACGGTACACCCTTGAGAAACAGACCTGTGTTTGAATCATACTTGCAAGCGGACGCCATCCGGGCGGTTCCGCATGTGCGGCAGACCGCCGGACCGGACCCGCGCGGCGCATGAATGTGCGCCCGACGACCAGTTACGCCCCACCTCCACAAAAAAAAAAAAAAAAATGCCCCCGTCCGGTCTGGTCCGGGTCTGTCCGGTCCGGGGGGAGGGTGCCGTACGCGGCAAAGCGGACCAGACCGGACGCTCGTCCAGTCCGTCTGCTTGCAAGTGTGGTTTGAATCCTTATGGAATCAAACGAGTAGAATATTAGAATAAGTTTAAATAACTCTAAAATACCTGGGGCCGACGAGTTTGATAATAATTCGATTATGACTTTATGAAAGCTCAAGACCGCCATCCTTTTTTAGCTTTATTTTTTTCATCTCTTAAACCACCACTACCTTTCAGGCTGGAAGCCTTAGTTGTAAATATAAATTATATAACCTATACCTAGGCCACAGAAGCCGCCCGGCCGGGCCAGTGCGACCCGGGACCCATCCGCCCGGGGT